GCAGATGTACTCTGAAATAATCCAATTCTTTATTTCATTCAGTTATATTTGGCTCAAGTTATACTATTTACTTGTTATTTTTGTTGTAAACACTGTAATTTCCTTTAATTTTTTTCTTCAAATGTTTGGCTGGACTGATTGGAATTTTGCTTAAGCTTAGCTAGTACTAGATGTTCCACAACATTTCTGTGTTAATAGTTATACCTTACCATTGTTGTCTTCTCTGGAACAGGCGATCAACAATATTAATATATTCAGTGTAATTTCATTAGTCCAGTTTAGATTAATCAATGCTTTAAGAGGGCAAGATGTTTTACCAGCACGGGGTGAGAAATAAACCCTGAAACACAGAGATAAGTTTCATGTATATATTCAATCTTATAATTTTTTTATTACTAAGAGAATGAACAAAAGTAAAAATAAATTCGACAACTCTGCAAATAAATTGAAAGAAATCTCCAGTAATATAGAAAAATTAATTATAATTTTTATAGAGAAAATTAACACACAGAAATGATAATAACTTAGATAACCTTTAAAATGAAATCATAATCTACTTATTCATCGATCTCCGCATCTACAAATTATTGTTGATGTATTTCAATGGACTAGGATAAAGAGTGTAAATCAATGACAAAAGGAAATAAAGTTGCCACAAAAATATATTACTACGTCTTTTATTTACCTCCCAAAGCACATTTATTTATCCGCCTAAAACACATTTGAAAACACTGAATATTGCCCGACCTTTAATTCTATTAAGATATTATCAAGCCACTACTTACTAATATAGATCATCTTAAATCCACTACTCCTAAAGGATATTTATGTACCCTACTCAATAAATTCTCCTTTATCTTATATTCGACGTCCCAAAAGGACCATCTACAAGTGTCATAGCTTCTGAATCACAAATACGCCTGAAGCGTGTTAGACCATTGGGTTCAAAAGATAAGAATCCTAGTTTAAGAAGTACAAAAAATGACACTACAAAAGAATTTCACGAAGAAATTCAAGATCTGATTAATCCTGATATTCCTGAAGAAATCAGTGAACCCGAGACTCAAGTAAATGAAGAACTCTCAATAAGTTCTTCTACAGGTGATGGGATAAGTTTAGATCGATCAAAACTCATAGTGGATAATGTTTTCGCATATGATGTTGCACTTAACATCATGCAAGTAAATGAGGATCTTGAACCTCTATCCGTCGAAGAATGTCGACAAAGACGTGATTGGCTAAAATGGCAAGAAGCAATTCAATCAGAATTGAATTCACTTGCTAAGCGTGAGGTTTTTGGACCAGTAGTCCAAACGCCTAGTGATGTTAAACCAATTGGCTATAAATGGGTCTTTGTACGAAAAAGAAATGAGAGAAATGAGATTGTAAGATACAAGGCACGCCTTGTTGCACAAGGATTCTCACAACGACTTGGTGTCGACTATGAAGAAACATATTCACCTGTTATGGATGCAATAACTTTTCGATATCTCATCAGTTTAGCTCTACATGAAAATCTTGAAATTCATCTAATGGATGTGGTTACAACTTATCTTTACGGTTCACTTGATAATGAAATTTATATGAAAGTTCCAGAAGGACTTAAAATGCCTGAAGCATGTAGTTCAAAATCTCGGGAAATATATTCAATCAGATTACAAAAGTCATTATATGGCTTAAAACAATCAGGACGCATGTGGTATAATCGCCTCAGTGAGTACTTGGTAAAACAAGGTTATATAAACGATGTCATTTGTCCTTGTATATTTATTAAGAAAACAACATTGGGGTTTGTTATTCTTGCTGTTTATGCCGATGACATTAATCTCATTGGAACTCCAGAAGAGGTTCAAAGGCAATTGAATATCTAAAGAAAGAATTTAAGATGAAAGACCTTGGTAAGACAAAAATTTGTCTTGGACTATAGATAGAATATTTAGTAGACGGGGTCTTCATCCATCAATCTACTGAAAATCTTGAAACAATTTTACATGGACAAAGCACATCCATTAAGTACTCCAATGGTTGTCCGATCACTTGAAGTGAGTAAGGATCCATTCCGACCTCAAGAAGAGAATGAGGAACCTCTTGGTCCAGAAGTACCTTATCTTAGTGCAATTGGGGCACTTATGTATCTTGCTAATGCTACGAGACCTGACATAGCATTTTCTGTTAATTTGTTAGCAAGATATAGTTCTTCCCCTACACGAAGATATTGGAATGGAGTTAAACATATATTGCGATATCTAAGGGGAACTAGTGATATGGGTCTATTTTATACTAACAAAGATAGTGCAGATCTTGTTGGTCATGCAGATGCAGGTTATTTATTTGACCCACATAAAGCTCGATCATAAACAAGTTATTTGTTCACATACGGAGGTACTGCTATATCATGGCGATCTACGAAGCAGTCTATTGTCGCTACTTCTTCAAATCATGCTGAGATAATAGCCATTCATGAAGCAAGTAGAGAATGTGTATGGTTAAGATCAGTAATACATTCTATCAAAGAAAAATGTGGTTTGAAGTGTGATGTCAAGATACCCACAATAATCTTTGAAGACAATGATGCATGCATAGCTCAATTTAAAAGAGGCTTTATAAAATGAGATAGAACGAAACACATTTCACCAAAATTATTCTTCACACATGATCTCTAGAAGAATGGTGATATTGATGTGCGACAAATTCGTTCGACTGATAATCCATCAGATTTATTTACCAAATATTTACCGGCCTTAACTCTTGAGAAGATGGTTCACAAAATTGAAATGCGGAAACTTAACCATCTGAATCGTGGTTTTTATCAGGGGGAGCAAAATACACACTGTACTCTTTTTTCCTTAATCTAGGTCTTGTCCCATTGAGTTTTCCTAGAAAGGTTTTTAATGAGATAGCAAATAATGCGTATCAAAAGATATTGTACTCTTTTTCCTTCACTGGAATTTTTTCCCACAATTTTTTTTTCTTCTAGTAAGGTTTTAACGAGGCACAATATCTATGGACATCCAAGGGGGAGTGTTATAAATCCATTAAATAAGTGGATAGTCCATAAAGTTAGTACATGAACTGTTGTGCGGAATTTGAGATAATACGAGAAAATATAAACGCGAAAAATAAGACAACAGATTTACGTGGTTCACCAATAAATTGGCTACGTCCACGGGAAGAGAGGGAGCAGTTTTATTATGGAGAGACAAAAACAGAATTACAGAATAGGGTTTCCCATAGCGTCTATATATAGTGCTAAGCTACGCCCTAACAGGCTTGGGCCCAACATACAGAATCAACAGAAAATTAAGGGCCCAATACAACAACATTGTATACCGTCGGGCCGGGGGCCCGGACCCCCAGGCCAGGGGGCGCGTCGCCCCCCTGGACCCCCCGACTCGCTGACCGGGCAGCGAGACCCCCGTCCTTTCTGTTTGTAGCGGGTCCGATTCAAGGCATTCAACATGAACAACCATTCATATTCACTAAGTTACATGAACCTTTTTGGATAAGAATGAATCTATTTATTATGATACTTAATATGGTGACATTTGGAGTGATTTCTCACTCTATAAATAGGGTTGTTCATTCACTATTGTAATATATACATATGAAACTTATATATACTTAAACAAGAAGAAAGTCTTCTCCTACATCTACTTTTCTTGTCTTCTTCTTATAATCTTGATTTTACAACATTACGTTATTTCTCTTAATTATTATAGTGTAATTATAAAAAGTAATGTCTAATTAATAAAATAACATAAAATATATTACAGATTAAAATTAATCTGATAATACTTATAAGTAGTAATATATATAAAAAAAAAATTACATCTAAAAGCTGTAATATTAAGCCTTAAATAGATGTGTGGAGTAATTTTTCCCTTAAATAAAAGTCCATGATTTTATTGAAAATAATATAAGTTGGTTCAATTCGATTATTTCTAAATGATTCCACATGAATGTTATTAATTAAAGAGGCGCCCCTTGTTGTAATTATAACAAAAAATTGCTTGTTATGGATCATAGCCACAACATTCTAATGTATAGATCATCTTTATGTTAATCTCGTCTATCTATATTTACAAATTACAACCAGTACATACATAAAAGATTGATAATCTAAACATTCTATGCAAGAATAGACATAAAAATATAGAGTAATAATTAATACGATGGACCATTTGCGATTTGCCATGAATGGCAACATTAATATTGGTTGGAGTCGGTAGTAGCTAACGTTGACGAAGTTTCGATCTAATTAAGAAATATAGACTTTAGAGATAGTCGTCTATAATTTATGGGAGCGTCTGAAAATGAAAATTCTGAGTATTTGAAAAAATAATTTTTATTTTTAATGTGAAAAAGTTACTTTGAAAAATGAAGTGTATTCGACAATTAACTGAAAATAACCTTTTGGTGTTTTTCAAATTTTCTAGAAGTTCTGAAATTTAACTTAAAACTGAATTTCAAAATGTTTTAAGGAATTCAACTTCAACAATTTTTCTTTAAAAAAAATCATGTCAAAATGCCCTTTTATATTTACAGTCATTTTTTTAAATTTATGTGGTATATATAATGTGTCTTTTTTTTTTTTTACCATGACTTTATGAATATTTTGAATTGTCAAATATCATGACTTAATATTTTTGACAAAAATTTTAAATATATAATCTTATTTTAAAATTTTAAAGATCTTCATGTCAAAATTTACAATACAAAAAAAAGTACGGTACCAAATAAATTACGTAAATACTGTAGTTGTTTTGACTGATTCTATTGGTTCATTTAATGGTCCCCAACGGTTCAAACGCGTGAAATAGGCATGCATGCAGCTATTCACATTGTAGACATTAATGGCTTCAATTGACTAGTGAGTTGGGACTGATAATAATATACAAAAGTTGTCTACTTGGCTGATAGAGAAAGCCTATATAAGCTCATATATTTTTGAGTAAAGAAAAGCACAAGTAACCTGATAACCTAGCTTTGTGATCATAATCATGGGTTCTTCTTCTCAAAAGAAGGTTGTAGGGTTACTTCTTGTCTTGAGTATTTTCTTGGAATTGAGTGCCATCACTTTTGGTGATGATAAGTTTGAAGAGTCGAGGTGGGGTAATGATTATGGTTGTGGACGATTTGGTAGAAGGGGATGTGGTGGACGCGATCCAGGTGGTGGTAGAGGTGTTGGAGGAGGGTTTGGAGGCGGAGCTGGTGGAGGAGGAGGTCTCGGGGGAGGAGAAGGAGGTGGAGTAGGTGGTGGGGGAGGTTTTGGTGGAGGACTAGGTGGAGGTGCAGGAGGCGGAGGTGGACTAGGAGGAGGAGAAGGAGGTGGAGTAGGTAGCGGAGGAGGTCTTGGGGGAGGAGCAGGTGGTGGAGGTGGCCTAGGTGGTGGAGGAGGAGGTCTAGGTGGAGGGGCAGGAGGC